CAATCTATGAAGGGGAAACATCACCGAACTATCACAAGGTGAATCGCAACTCACCCAAGCCCCCAAATCAGTGAAAATCCAAGATTTGAAGCAATTTATGAAGGGGAAACATCACCGAACTATCACAAGCTGAATCGCAACTTCTCCAAACCCCCAAATCAGTGAAAATCCAAAATTTGAAGCAATCTATGAAGGGAAAACATCATTGAACTACCACAAGGTGAATCGCAACTTACCCAAGTACCCGAATTAGTGAAAACTCAAGATTTGAAGCAACCTATGAAGAGGAAACATCACCGAACTATCACAACGTCAATCGCAACTCATCCAAGCCCCCGAATCAGTGAAAATCCAAGATTTGAAGCAATCTATTAAGGGGAAACATCACCGAACGATCACAAGGTGAATCGCAACTTACCTAGTTCCCAAATCAGTGAAAATCCAAGATTTGAAGCAATCTATGAAGGAGAAACATCACCGAACTATCACAAGGTGAATCGCAACACATACACTCACCAAAATTAGTGAAAATAGAAGCTTTGAAGCAATCTATGAAGGGGAAACATCACCGAACAATCACAAGGTAAACGCAACTTACCCAAGCCCCCAATTCAGTGAAAATCCAAGATTTGAACCAATCTATGAAGGGGAAACATCACCGAACTATCACAGAGTGAATCGCAACAGATACACCCACCCAAATTAGTGAAAACACAAGCTTTGAAGCAATCTATGAAGGGGAAATCTCACCGAACTATCACAAGGTGAAATGCAACACATATACCCACCCAAATCAATGAAAACACAAACTTTGAAGCAATCTGTGAAGGGGAAACATCACCGAACTATCACAAGGTGAATCGCAACTTATCCAAGCCCCCAAATCAGTGAAAATCCAAGATTTGAAGTAATCTATGAAGGGGAAACATCACCGAACAATCACAAGGTGAATTGCCGCTTACCCAACCACCCAAATCAGTGAAAACTCAAGATTTGAAGCAACCTATGAAGAGGAAACATCACCGAACTATCACAAGGTGAATTGCAACTCATCGAAGCCCACAAATCAGTGAAAACACAAGCTTTGAAACAATCTATGAAGCGGAAGCATCACCGAACTATCACAAGGTGAATCGCAACTTATTCAAGTCCCCAAATCAGTAAAAGTCCAAGATTTGAAGCAATCTTTGAAAGGGAAACATCACCGAACTATGACAAGGTGAATCGCAACACATACACCCACCCAAATCAGTGAAAACACAAGCTTTGAAGCAATCTATGAAGGGGAAACATCACNAATCGCAACACATACACCCACCCAAATCAGTGAAAACACAAGCTTTGAAGCAATCTATGAAGGGGAAACATCACTGAACTATCACAAGGTGAATCGGAACACATACACCCACCCAAATCAGTGAAAACACAAACTTTGAAGCAATCTATGAAGGGGAAACGTCACCGAACTATCACAAAGTGAATCGCAACTTCTCCAAGCCCCCAAATCAGTGAATATGAAGGCGAAGCATCACCGAACTATCACAAGGTGAATCGCAATTTACCCAAGCACCCAAATCAGTGAAAACTCAAGATTTGACGCAACCTATTAAGGCGAAACATCACCGAACTATCACAAGGTGAATCGCAACTCATCCAAGCCCCCAAATCAGTGAAAATCCAAAATTTGAAGCAATCTATGAAGGGAAAACATCACCGAACTATCACAAGGTGAATCGCAACTTACCCAAGCCCCCAAATCAGTGCAAATTCAAGATTTGAAGCAATCTATGAAGGAGAAACATCATCGAACTATCACAAGGTGAAGCGCAACACACCCCATCACCCAAATTAACAAAATGACAAGTTTGACATCATCTATACTAGGGGAAACATCACCGAAGTATCCCAAGGTGAGGCGCAACACATACATCCACCCAAATCAACAAAAATTGCAGTTTTGACAAGAGGAGGAGGGGGGGGAGAAGGGGAGGGATAACGGAAAGAAAAGGGAGAAGAAGAGGAAGAAGAAGAAGAAAAAAAAAAAGAAGAAGAAGAAGAGGAAGAAAAAAGAAGGAGAGAAAAAAGGGAAGAGGAGGAAAAAAAAAAAA